TTTGCTCTTATCTGCGCTACCCAAAAGTCTAACTATAGATGGGATATGCCTAGATGATGTATACACATATTATCTATGGGTTGAAACTTTAGTACCTAACTAAAAGAGAACTTAGCAGCTAAAACTACTGTTTAACTATTGAGAAAAGACAATCTACTGTAAGCTGTATATATATATACATGTATATATGTATATGAGACACTTCAGCTACCGAAAGGAATACCAAAATGAAGATAATGCTAAATAATATTACTTAAAATTTAATTGCAATTCGATCATTTTGTGTAGCGCTACCTAAGCTAAGCTTTTGTGCCTCTCTTTCTTTCTAGACGCTTAAATAATTCGAAAAACTCTGAGATTTTACGAGTTTAAAAGCAAAATACATACATAGAGCAAATATTGATATTCTAATAAAAATACATAGTTATATGTGAAGAGAAAATCGTCTAGAAATTTATCATAAAACAACTCATTAGCCAAGCTATGTGCTAAATTCTAGGGCACAAAAACTAAAAACAAAATTAAAGTAGTTGGAGATTTGTTTAAAATCTAACATAATTCATATAAATACATATATACTCGTATATAAATGTATAACTCCGAACTTGAAGCATTTAACAAAGAGTTTAATTCGCAACAGTCAAATATCTAATGTAAATCGTAAGAAGCAACATATATAGTATATATACATATATATAACAAMATTTTGTGACTACATATGACTATGACGAGTACCACTTAAAGTTCAAGTTCAACCGAATGTACTCTTCACATAGAAATTTGCTCGAATATGATTAACACAATATATGTATTTACAATATGAAAGAATATGATATATATATACATATATATGTGTATGTGTGCGTGTGTAGAACGATTAACTAAATATATAAAATTAATGAAATGATTACTTTAATAAATTTGATGGCAACAAAACAAAATTTCCAAGTCTGTTTAAAATATTGAAAATATGTATGCATTAACATTTAATATTTAACAGTAAACATTWAACATTTAACATTTAACATTAACTTTAACATTTAGATAACAATTAATTTTACTATGAAGCTATACAAAATGCATATACATATGTATGTATGAATATATACATTTATTGTTAATCTTTGATTTTTAATTTATATAGCAAAACATTTTTACAAAACATATTTAAATGATTTTTTAAAGTATTTTTGAAAAACTCATATGTGTGTGTTTTTTTAAATCGCATATTTAATTATAAAAACAAAACAAAACTAAAAACAAGCATTAATTTAGTACAAAGTCAACAACAAATTACAAAAATATATGTATATCAAATCAAATAAAAATCTCGATGTTTGCCGTAAGCATACTATATATATACTATATATA